AAAAAATTTGCAAGTGCCGTCATTTTATTCAATGGGGTCCCTGCTTTCAGAAAATACTTATTTTGAGGGTTTGAAGTAATCTTCAGGCCTAAAATGTACATTGTAACTAGATACTCGCCCGATACCCGAGCTTCCAGTATCAGGAAGCCGGGCGCCATGTAATGACTCGCTGGCTGGCTTCCTGATTGGTCAAGAAGCTAGCCAATCAGAAAGCCAGGTGGCATGTCATTACTCACCCCCGGCTTCCTGATTAACCAGAACACCAGCTCCATGCTTCCTCCCCACCTGGTGACGAGGAAGCATGGAGACGGCTTCCCTGCTAATCGGGAAGCCGGGTGGAGAATCATTACACACAGTGGCGTCACAAGGGGAGGTGCGGCCCGCACCTGGGTGACACCATTGGAGGGGTGACACCAAAATGACTGTCAGTCACCCCCCCCTCTGAAAAGTCTAGCGCTCGGTCATGGACCGAACGCCCGACAGTATCAGGAGAGAGAGAAGGGGACCCGGAGGCATACCTTATCCCGCCGGGTGACTGTCCCCTCATCTCTCTGCCGGCGTCCATCACCAAGATGGCCGCCGGCAGGTATCAGAAGAGTGCCGCGCATTGCGCGATGACGCCGCACGCATGGGCGCGTCGGCGGGGGGACACTCGGGAACCGCTCCTGGTGTCACCCAGCCTCTGGACGGCCCTGATTACACATCATCTGGCTTCCTTAAATGGGACCTCCAGTATTGGTATTCGGTATCAGCGAGTACCAAAAAAAAGAATATTGGTACTCTATACCGAAAAAACGGTATTGGTGCATCCCTAATTGTAACACAAAGAATCAAGGAAATGACTGGCAGTGAAAGGGTTATATATACATTTCGGTCTCTATAATACACAGAGGATGATTTCTGATGAAGAGTGTGCACCCCGCACTCCCCGCGCCACCTTTTCCGCGTTACGAGACAGAAATGAAACCATTCCAAATTCCTCCAGCACTGAGACGGTTAAGCGCCATTGTTATCAGCTGAATGAGCTGCGCCATTGACACTTCTCGGTGTGACCGGAGCCCGCGGTCGTTCGCAGTGTAACAGGTTCAGATTAATGAATGGTCGTAGGAAGTCACATGACCTTGTTTGCTGATTAACTGGAACGTGAAAAGCTTTTCAGAGTGAATAAATACAGAAAAAGCACGGCGAGCGCGTCTACGGCTTACTGAGGTTACATAGACCACCGACTGTGACCGCTGGCACCATTTCAACATTGCCAACAGGCCGCAAAGGATACTTCAAGAGCCTGGGGCAGCATATGTAAGAGAATAATATACAGTCTATTATTCTAACAATCCGGGCTGCAAAGGATACATTATAGAGACAAAATTAACTTTTAGTATAAGGGCCTATTCACAGCTTAGCGTTGGTATCCCGCCTATCCCTCAACGCAAGGAAACACACGCTAGGTGTGCTGGTGCATTGCATTTCATTGTGAATGGCACCGCAATGAACCTTCTGGGAGCCGCGCTTTTGTGCTGCAATGCATGATAACGCAATAGCATGCATTGTATTGAAAAAAGTATTGCATGCAGGACCTTCCTACAAACCATGGGGATGCAATGAAGGCTATTGCTGTATTGTGCAATGCTTGGCTGCTGGAAGGGGCATTGGGGTGCCATTCAGAATGAATGGCAATGCAACGCACCTCACGTGTGCTGCATTGGGCTGTGCAATAACGTGCACTAAACGCATGGATAAAACTACGGCGTGAATGGGTGCAGGCAGTGGCAAAACCCAGGTGGCTATGGGGCACAGGGGGGCCTGACCAGGAAAAGGAATAAAAAGGGGTCCCCCTGATGCTGTGCGGGCTGCCTGGGTCACTATGGTATTGCAAGCTGCTGGCTGTCACTGGCAGCTGGGAGGAGGAACGCGCCGCTGTTCGGATCACTGACAACCTGTCAGTGATCTGTGCAGTGGCGTGTTCCTCCTCACAGCCACTGTCAGTGACAGCCAGCAGCTGCGGTGGAGAAGGAGGTTGGGCCCTGGGCCGGCAGCAGAGGAGCAGGTGGGGCCTGCCAGCGACCTTGGAGGAGGAGGCAGGGCCTGGTGTTGGAGGAGGCTGACAGGTAAGAGTTGTGCAGGGGTGTGGCCAACCCATCTGAGACCCTGCAGAGCCCACCATAGAGAGTCTAAGGTGGGCTCTGCAGGGTCACTCTCAGATGGGCTGTGTGGGATCTCAGGTGGGCTCTGCAAGGGGCGTAACTAGAAATCACAGGGCCCCATAACATTTTTTTGCTATGGGGCCCTGCGATTTCTAGTTACGCCCCTGGGTGCAAGGGATACAGCTATGGTGTGAATGGGTGTGGTGGATACGGCTATGGTGTGAATGGATGTGGTGGATACTGCTATGGTGTGAATGGATGTGGTGGATACGGCTATGGTGTGAATGGACCCTAAATAAGCTAAAGATAGGCGCATAAAAAGAAAATTTGTACAAAGTCATATTGTCAGTTTCTTTAAAAAGCAGCCACAGCCCGAGTAGAAAAGCCCGCCCCCTGCCAGCTTCAGAGAAGGAGCCTTGCACTCTGCAGAGAAGCAGTGGTCTCTCTGCAGAGGTGCAACATGCCCCTTGCCGAGTAAGAGCAAGGGTTTTCCCAATCAGAAGAATCTTTGCCTATTACATAGCTATGGGCCCGATTCAGCAAGGGGGATGCATAGATCTGTACTGTTGGGTTTTTGGGTCAAGAGAGTAAATCAGCACAAACATGTGGAGAACATACAGCCGTCATGCAGATACCGTCCTAGGTTCTAATTTTACCCAAAGTAAAGAAAGGGTATTAATCATCCAGTCTCAATGCTGCCCACTCTGGGCTCCTTGATACTGAGGTCCATTTAAATGAAAATCGGTAAATTTTCAATCATTTTATAGCCGACCAATGAGAGAAGAGGGCAGGATGCAATATTTCTCCAGCAAACAAATTGACTTTTCTTTGAATAGAACGGGAAGGGTTAGGACTTCCACCAACGATTGTATTGCCGTCTCCCTTTCTGTCCTGTGACAACTGAACTCCTCATTTCTTGTATGGGTGTCACAGGGACAGGATGCGAGGGAAATCGCCATAAAAAGGGTCAACAGAACAGAATTAAGAAAACAAAATGTTTTCCTCTATCCCATTCTATCCAAAAGGGAAAACAGAAGACTTAGGACTGAGGCTTTAAAGTGTTTGTTTAGCCCAAACCTTTAGTTTTAGGCTATAGATTGAAGTTTTCACAATACCTGCTCCGTCAGGTTTTTTTTTTTCCTGCTGTCTGAGTCCGGTAGGGAAGATTTACCTTCCACTTCCTGGTGTCAGGATAGGGGCAGAGCATACCGGAGACTGCATGCAGACACAGGGATCAGAGGCACACAGGGCACACTGGGGTCACTGGGTGACGGAATGCTTTGTGGTCCCTGGGTAACACAGGATAGGTTTGGATCACCGGGTGACACAAAACGCTCCGGGGTCCCCGACACAAAACGCCCCGGGGTCCCCGGGTCATAGGGCACACAGGGGTGCACCGGGGGTACAAGGGGCAGCAAGGTAGGACGCAGATCACTGAGGGCAGGGCGGACACAGGTAAGATTGCCGCAGAAGGATGCCCGGCTTAGAGTCACCAATCACGTGACGTTACAACCCGACCATACAGAACTTTATATTTACCAAAACTATGTAATATAAAGGATCAACCTAATCTATCCAATCAGTTTCCAGTCACACAGGCTCTTGCACTACATAACTGTAGGTAGATCTAAAGTAGATTGTACAACATGTGTGATGAGCTTAAAGCTGACCATACACCTATAGGTTCAGGTATGTTGAGAGCAAGATACTGAAGCTTGGCCCGGTGGGGATTCCTCCATACACACAGTGTCGCGTAGATGGAGGAATCTGTTGCGCTTTTTCCCTTCTGACGCTAGAAAATCTGCAGAGAATCTATAGGTGTGTGGCCGGTTTTAGTGGCGTGTTACTCCAACGCCAAGCTGTATGCTGCTTTGCATTTTAAAGCAAGAGCTATCTCCCAATTGGCCATGGCGCTGGCACTCCAGGCGAAACCCAAAACGTGTCCCGAAAAGGAGACCCAGCGCTGGATCAGGAAGGAGGCGAGTGTGACACCTGACCTTGGTAAGAGACAGGAAGTGAGAGGAAATCCCTCCAAAAGTGAGTTATCATGGACCAAGTGGAGGATTTCCCCTCGCCTCCTCTTCTGGTGACAACTAACATTTTGGCTTTCCATAACTTCCTGTCCTAATGACCAGGACAAAAAAAAACAAGAGGCTGAACCTCCCCAGTGAGGTCACAGACAACAACTTACAAAATAGGGGATCTCTTCCTTTCCCGCTCCTTCCAAAACCCAACATAAACATTTTATCTATAGATACATTTTAACCAAATAAAAAAAATTGCATTTAGCAAATAAACGAGAAACACAAAATTGCACTGACGCCCCGGAATCGAAACGCACTGGTAGCCGTGAAGGGTTAACTAGTCCCCTGACGGATTAGCCGGGTTCATTCAGCAGCAGCTGCATGGAGAGAGGACACAATGGTGTCACTGGAAGAGAAGACAACATTGTATCCCAGAGCTGGGATGCTGCGGAGCAAATCAGTGCAAGGCGCAGGGAAGCAAGACAGGTGAGTCTGCTGCTCAGATCAGAGCACAACCATGCAAGCCAATGCTTGCTCTCCGTCAATGTGACAACCCCCCCCTTTTTCTGCGGGATCTCCCCAAACCCCCTCCTTCCTTACGGTTGGGCAGACATCCCCTCCCCTCTCCCAGCATCACCTAGGAAGAAAGGCAGAGGAGGGGGGGACAGGAGGCAAGAATAAACACAGTCACATCATGTAGTGGTAGTAGGCGCTGCCACCCCGGCCTTGCGGCTTCCACGGCGGGCATGGGCAATGCAAAAAAATAATTAAAAGAGAAAAACCGACCGTGCCCACCGCGCGGTCAGCTGACACAATCAAAGCCTTGACTCACCAGCTTCGGCTTGTTCTTGCTCTCGTCCGGCTCCGACGGCTTCCTCTTGGGATTCCTGTCGGCGTTCTTCCCCGGAGAGTCCTCTCCCCCAGCCGCCGCTGGCTGGGCATCCATTTTTTCGTCCACCGTGGAATCCCCCCAAAACTGCCAGGTGCCAGTTTGCTGCAGCCAACGTCAAGACGGTGTTTAATCCAGAGGGTTTTTTTTTGTTTTTTTTGGGGGGGGGGGCACCAC